GTTACTGGTACTATTCATAGTTCATAGTTCTTGTTCAGATGAACTTCAGCTCAGATTCAGATACAATAATGACTACAATGACCAGCCAGCCGAAGCTGCTGAGACTTTTTCAGTTCTTGAATACATTAATAAACACATTGACAGTGAAGCCATGTAACCAAACGGTTCTCATGGTTCCCAGTACTGTTCTTAGTGTGTGATTTGATGATTAGGTGGTTGATTAAAACCGTCTCCATGTGTTGGTGATGTCACGCTGCTGCAGCAGGTTTGATGTAGATCGCTGACTGGTTCCACATTAAGCATATTTAATTCTTCTTTGTTTGCTGTGCGTCTTCCTCAAACTCTCAGAGAAGTCCTGGAGGCAGCAGCTGCCTGTGTTTGTCTTTTCGCAGCAGTCACGGCTTCTCTGTCAACCACAGCACTTCATCTGAACCTGAGCGGTGAGGTCCCGTTTGTCATGTGTTTCCACAGCAGTGCTCTGTCACCAGTGGTTGTTTAGTTTGTTGGTTCTGTTCTGTAACTGTTTGTTACCAGGGCTGTGTGGTTCTTTGGTGGCACCGACTGAGATGATTCGGTAGTACCGGGTATCCAAAGACCCAGATGTTAGTGATGTGATCGAGATCGGCTCATGCTGCCGGTGATTGGCTGTAACGTTACACCTGACTGTGGCATACAGGAGAAAATACACACACAGCCTGCAGACGGGGTTCACGTGCGTCTGCATTATTAGAATTCAAATTTTTGTATCGGCCAGAAAACACAACAACAAAGCCAAGCAGCCACGGAGAAGAGGAATCTCCGGTGATTCCTCTTCTCCGTGGCTGCTTGTCTTTGTTGTTGTGTTTTCTAATCATAGCTCATTCGTTGTTATTTTCTTTAGTTGTCATAATGTTTTATTTTGCTCTTTATCTTTGTGGCTCTGGTGCGTGCGGTCCTTTTTCTCGGTGACAGCTGCAGTTACAGTCATTGATGATTATTGATTAGTTTGGTTCAGTTACAGACTGCCGTGTGACCGCTGGGACCACAGACTGTCAGCTGAAGAGTTGACTTGATGTTTCCCTGTTAGTGTGTGTGTGTGTGTGTGTGTGTGCTTCCATCCGAGGCCTGGAAAAGTAACCCCATTGCCTGATGGGAAAAGTTGCCCATGATTATCCCTGTCCCTTTAACAGTTCCCATAGATAATAAATGGACCAGAGTAATTGATTTACATCCATCCATCCATCCATCCATCCATCCATCCATCATCCATCCATCCATCCTTCCAATTGCATCACAGTGGATCGAGATAAACCCATCCACTAGGGGGCAGTAGAAGTCCTGTTGTCACAGTAAGTGTATACTGATCACTAGCTAAATTTCCAAATGTGGATTCTAAAAGAGCAAAAGCTAAAACCTAACTTGAACTAGCTAAGACCTTGGCCAAATATCTACGTATATTTTGGAAAAAAGCAGCCAGTAGGTTTTCAAAACAAAGCTGAAATTTAAGGAGATTAGAGAAATCACAAAGTTAATTTCCTGCACTACTTCCTGTCTGCGTCTACTTTCACCTGTTCTTGCTTCACCTGTGGCTCGTTAGCTCCAACATTTAGCTGCTGTCTTTGGCTCTCACAGACAAACCGTTTTATTTTATTTTTTAAAATTGTTCCTGGTTTTTCTCTTTCTACTCTGAGGAGCACGAACGGCTCGGCTCCTTCTTCCTCCTGTGGCTGGTGTTGTTGTGTCTCGGTGGTGGATTTTCAGGAAGTGATGGGGCGGAAAGGCAGGAAAAGCCACCGCCACAGGCTTGACTTTGACTGATATATCAGAATCTTAGACTTCAGAGGAGAGGATTTTCTGTTTGCGTCTCAGTGAAGGGTTTTCTCTTTTTTTAGAGAAGTCAAAAAAAGAATAGCAGAGAACAAGAAGAGGAAGAAGAGGAGAAGGAGGAGGATTTGAAGACATGGACTTCCTAGGAGAAAATCAAACTGAACCATCTTCAACGTTGAATAAGCCTGGAGACAGTGAGCTGCTCGTTTTTCCTTCTTTTGAACAAAAAAAAAAAAAGAAAAATTCCTCCTGATGAATCCTCTTTAGTAACCATGATTATTAATTCAATTCAGAAATATTCATTTATTTCAATTTTACCTACTAAGTTTGACTAAACATAAACATCGTCCTACAGCACATTAGCTAACCCAGGACCTCGGTCCAAAAATAGTTAAAACAATAAAATAAAGTTCAACTTAAGTACCTGGAGAATTATAGCCTACAGAAAATGACAGATAATATTCATAATGTCTTATATGAATTTATACAGAAGTTGCTACTAAACTATTTTAAATTATGCTGGCAGATACAGACATTTACAAATAGCTTAACATTCCCCTGAAGGTTAAACTATAGAGCCTAGAATAAATGTGTTTTATGTAGCATAGCAGTGTTACAAAACAAACAAATGGTGAAAAGATATGAATGACGAGACATAAATGAGTAAAACCCTAGCTTTTAAATAGCTTTAGTTAGCCCCTCTTCTTATTACGTTTAATTACTTCAGCATTATTTATAATGTGATAATGTGACAATAAAAATGTCCCTCGTGTATCCTGATGTACTACTACTGAACTACGAGTAGTTCAAATGATGTTAAAAAGACATTTTCCCCCTACGTTGTTGGGCTTGTTTTGCTTCTGTATTCTGCTCCCTAACCACCAGAGGGCGCGCCTCCATAATCGATATGAATATAGTGAGTTCTAACATTGTGTTAACTTCATGTAAGCGTGTTTTTTTAGTCAAATATAATAATTACAAATATTTGTAAGTGTGTCATGTGACAGGAGACAGTTTAAAAAACTAAATACGGTAGGTTAAAAAAGTGTCATGTGACAGGAGAAAGTTTAAAAAAACTAAATACGGTAGGTTAAAAAAACTGTTGAAGAAATGGAAAGAAAATATTTGATCATATTTAAATTTATATTCATCATCTTTGTCATTTTAATTATGTTTTATCTTTCCTTTTTCATCACAGTTGTAGTTTGTTCCTTCCACAGTTCATCCTTCATCACTGATCTCCTCCTCCTCCTCTCTATTCTTAATTATTTACATTCCTTTCTTCCTCCCTCCCTCCTCATCTTCATTCTAGTCCGTCCTTATTCTCTGTACGTTTGTCCTTGTCGTTAGGCCTCCTCTTCATCTTCATCCTTTTATTTCATCTTTTATTCTTCTCGTCCTTCATCTTTCATGATTCTTTTCTCTCCTCTTCATCTCGACCCTGAAGCCGCTCTCATCCTCTTGTCCAATCAGGGTGGATGGACAAACAGCTCCATGGTAACGTGAGACTTTCTTACATGTGCGTGGGACACGGCTTCAGAGCTGCGGCTGTTTCCAGGGAAACTGTGGTTTTCAGGTGTGTGTGTGTGCATTTATTTGTGCACGTGTACGTTGTGGTCAACGGGTTGAAACACACTGACGTGAGGATGAGCTGATGTTTGGCACTGGGATGATTTCACCTTTCGTCTGTCACATGTTTTTGTTTTACTTTCAGTGATGTCAGTAATTGTCACATGGAGCTTTGGCCTCACATTATCTTCACAGAGGATCAGTGATAACCTTTCCCTAATATCAGCTTTGAGTTATGCAGTGGTCTGGAGTGTTCTGGTATCTGCTTTTGAACTCTGTTTGTATACAGCAGCTGCTCTGTAGGGGATGGAACAAGTAGGAAACGAGTCTGTATCTGCTGGATATTAATAATAACACTTAAGATTGTACATTTTTACATTAATGTCACAGTGTTTAGTAGTAAAGGTGGTAATGCAACAAAGTAAAGTAGTACAAAGGTTTTAGGCATGAGCAGAATTAGCTCGAGCCATTCTGGTGCCATAGGTGAGATTATGGTTTGGCGTTCTTTATCACCCACATTACAATTATGTATTTTTTTCCCTAAAGAAATGACATCATCAATCCTTCCAGCAGATGACACTCTTGGCAGCTTCCCTTACCAGTGCGGTCTATAGCAGTGAATGTTTAATGATGTGGCACATCATCAGTTGAACCTTGAAAATGATTTAATGATTTAACCTGGTAGCTATCATCTATTGGCTGCTAATAATTTGTCTTTGTTTGTCTGTGCGACAGGGACAGGCAGAACAGTTGAGAATTCTACCACTAGATGGCAGCTCTCTATAAAAAGCTTCAAAAGAAGTGTGACTGACCAGTTAAAGGTCTTTGTGTCTTTCTTCAATTCCTGCGACTATAACAGTGTTCAACTAAACAGGTCCAGGTTCCACCCTGACTAAGCCAATTCTAAATAAATAAGAAGGTAAATTATACTTATACTTACTGTATATTTCATTTCAACTGGAAGACTTATACTTACTGTATATTTCATTTCATATACAGTTGTGACAATTTCCTTTGCTAGTGCGCCGTGTGGGATTTCCTAAAATATGTGCTGGCTCAAAAAAGCTTTGGAAACACTGGCTTGAACTGAGAGCTGGTTCTGGTTCTGTGATCTTATTCAGCTGTTATCAAGAATTTTAAAAGAACTCAAAAAGAATGTGGGTGAATGAATGAATGAGTTATTTTAATAGTACTTGTGGTTGTTATTAATTAATCACAGAAACATGTCTGTAATTAGTAGGATTTTAATCCAGTGTTGCTAAAGAAATTGACTGTACTTGTCCCCAGCAGCTCAGTGATGGTCAGGGTCTTTGTAGCTGTGATTCATGAGCACCAGTGTAGAACTTGTCACTGTCACTGCTGACACCGCTGCTTCCTCTCTCTCTGCGCTAACACTCGTTTCAAAGTGTTTTCTTCAAAGCCTGGTTTGTTAAGTCGGCAGCTGCATACTAATCAGGCATTAAACACACACGCACACACACACACACGCACAGATGAGATGATTGGTTTGATGACATTTCTCCTCTTCACTGTTCTGTTCCAGTGTCTCTCCTTCACTTCTGGGTCACTCTGTTCTCTATTGTTAATGATCAGACAGATGTTTCATCAATTTTCCATTTGTTTTAATTCATTTCTAGCTGCAGCAGCAACAACCAGTACACTGCTAAAGATGAATTTCTTCTGCCCCCTGCAGGGGATTTGATGAAATGATCATTATTTTAAATTTTTTAAATACAAATTAAATCAAAATAAGCTTCACAAAATAAATACGCAACCAAAATAAGCTTCACAAAATAAATACGCATTTCTTGGTGTACTGTAACACAGAGCACATATTTTAAAAACATTTTAACAAATACATTTCAGTTCTAAAAAAGTTATTTGGTCGTTAATTGAACTATTTAAAAAATACTGAGTCTTCACACTGCAAGAAAAAGAGGTGACGAGAGAGAGAGAGAGAGAGGGAGAGGGAGAAAGTGCAAGTGTGTGTGTGTGTGTGTGTGTAGCAGGTGTGAGTCCAGACTTTGACACTGGGTTTCTTCCTGTCCATCTGTGCCCAGACAGTAGGAGACTCTGAGTTTCCAACACTGAGCTCAGTGTCTCAGCGTCAGAGCAGCTGAGGACAGAAAAGCCTCTTCACTGCTGTCATTTCCAGGTTTGAACTTCATCAAATGTTGTCAAGCTGCTGTTTTGGACCAACGTTTGGAAACACGTTCACGCTAACATCTGACTTGACTTTAGCGTTATTAGCACTTTGGTTTTGTTGCCTTTTTTATTAGCAGCTTAAATACATTGTTGGAAAACAATGGTTTTGGACATCGACATTTTAGCATTCAATTTGGCTAGCATTTAGCGATTGTGCATTTTCTAGTTTTCTAATTTAGTTTAATATTCGTTAAAGTGAGAATATAGTTTAGAGATATCTCGTGTCTAGGTGTAAAACCATTGTTGACTTGTTGCAGTGTAAAGACTAGTTTTAGAGATTTCTGTTCAGTCCAGCTGTTGGTGGGAAAACTGGTTGACTTATTATGTCCATTTCATTTTTGCTGCGTTGTACTGAAATAATCATAATAAGGTACCTATTTTACCTTTTTTCTTTTTGGTGAGTTCTGCTACATTTTAGCCCTTCATTAGCTACCTTCATCTAACCCTGTGTCGTTTTAGTTTCACTATTTCGTCACAGTAACTTGTCGTTACTGTGACGGTTTGCATTTCGTTCCAAACCAACCTTATTTTTAAAGGTTTGTTTTTAAAGTAAAATCTAGAAGTGAGACCCCTGTGGTTTCTGCATTTATTAACATTTGTTTCCCTTTTATCCTGTCCCGCTGCACTGTCCACATGCTGTTGGTGTATATTACAGTACTGAACTGATTTCTATATTTTTAAATATTTAAATTTATGTAGTGTGGGATTAATAATCTTTTTATATTATAATGATTTTTATATAATCTGGTCTTTGATACAACTATCTGTGTTTGGGATTCATTTTACACAAAGAAAACCTACACTTTTCTACAATAAAAGTGAGCAGACTGGAACCATTTAGTCTAAGCAGGTGGTGTTGGAGACACGGTGTTGGATTCTGTCTCTGTGGATGATTTCATACGGAAGTTATATTTCTAGATTTACAGATAAAAACATTGTAACACAAGCCAGCTGCTGCTGCTGCTGCTGCTGCTGCTGCTGGCGCTGGTGCTGCAGCCGCTGCTGCCGCGGCCGTTGCGTCTCTTGCT